CGAAAAAATCTTTGCCCCTTTTATAAAATTCCCGGTTAGGTGTTTGTCCATAACCTGTTTTGTGTCTTTGAACCAGCTTATCGAACCAGGTTGGTCCAGTTCTAGATTGTCTTTGGTACGACCTAGAACTGGTTTGTCCTCTAGTTCTATTACCATAAAAGGGTTGGTTCTGAAAACTCGGTTTTTGATTCATTTGAGTGTCTCTTGGAATATATCCGAGACCAGCAGTCTCGTTTTCCTTTCTTTTGTACCGAGAGGGTCCAGTTCTAGAATGATGTCTAGACCTGGTTCTTACCTTGGTACTATATGGTTGGTATTCCAGTTTGTTTTTGAAATCCTGTCTCTCGTCCTCAAGGCGATTGAGATGATTAATGAGCAAGGCAATGTCCGAAATTTTTCTTAGAAGTTTTTCTTCATCATTAACTTGTTTATTCATACTATCGAGCTTGAGTGAGCAAATGAGATTATCTTGTTCTAAAACCACTTCACTATACTTGAGCCTTTCATCTATTAACTCTCCCACTTTTGTTTCCAGCCTTATCTTGGCTCTAGTGGTTTCCTCGAGTTTAGACTCAAGTTCGGTGATTTGTGATTTAAGATGATCGTTTTCAGAAAGACTTTGATTTAGCTTGATAGTTAATCTTTTAAAAATCTTCCGAACCTTGCCTTTAGAGAGGGAATCAAATTTAGAAAGAAAGCTTTCCAAGTTTACCTCGAAATTCTCTTGGTCGGATTCTTCATCGGAATTAGCCATGAGGCACAATCCTGCATGATTTAGGCCTTTTTCTTCTTCTTCTTCTTCTTCTTCTTCATCATCATCAGATGAATCTCCCCAAGCTGCCATCATTGCCTTCTTGAGGTCTCTGTTGAACCCTTTATCATCACTGGACCGTTGGTGAGAGTTGGTCTTGTTCTTGTCGTAGGTTCTATCATTTTTCTTTTGAGGACAATCTTTTGCCCTGTGCTCAAAGGATCCACAAACAAAACAACCTTGGTTATTAAAAGATTGAAACCCTTTCTTACCTTGCTTGTTCCGGTTGCCTTTAAACTTTCGGTACATCTTTCCGAATTGCTTGGCAAACATGCTCATTTCGTCTTCCGATTCACTTTCGGAATTTTCTTCTTCCTCTCGAGCCTTGAGAGCAATTCCTCGCTCCTTCCTCACATTTCCGGCATCTTGTTCTTCTTGAAGGCCTAACTCATATGTCATGAGCGAACCGGTTAGGTTTTCTAACGTCATGGTGGAGAGATCTTTGGCTTCCTCTATACCTGTAGTTTTGGGCTTCCATGCGGAGGGCAAACTTCTCATAACTTTTCTCACTTGATCTTCCACAGTAATATCCTTTCCAAGTGCTGAAAGCTCATTTATAATATTAGTAAAACGTGTAATCATATCCCTAATTGACTCTTTAGGTTTCATCACGAACAATTCGTAATTACGCATAAATATGTCAATTTTGGATCTTTTTACACGCGAGGTACCTTCATGTGTAACCTCGAGTAAATCCCACATTTGTTTTGCGGATTTGCATCCAAGAACACGGTTGTGCTCAGCCGGACCAAGTCCACAGATCAAATATTTCAATGCTTGGGCATTATGCTCGAGTTTACGATAATCATCAGTAGTGAATTCAGATTTGGGTTTAGGAACAACTTTACCTTCGGAGTCCACCTTAGTAATGACGTTATCATCTGCCTCAATTACATTCCATACCTGATAGTTCTCAGACTTGATGAAGTTCTCCATTCGACTCTTCCAGAATTGGTAAAATTTGTCGTTAAACAACGGTGGTCGTTGAGTCGAGTATCCTTCCTCCAATCGTTCAATCGTATTCATGCTGCCGGATCTCTTCCCGAGGTATTAACCTTTATGTGGCGAAGACCGGCTCTGATACCAATTGATGAAACGGTTAGCAACACAAGAGGGGGGGGTGAATTGTGTGTGTGTGAACCGTGGCAGTTTTTTCGCACAGTTCTAGTGTGGGGTCCAGGGAATTACTAAATAGTAAAGTGCACAAGGATTTAACGAGGAAAAATCCCTTGGCTCAAAGGGATTAAAAAACCTCGACCTCCCTCGGAGGAATTTTCAACAACTTCACTAATAAGCCTTTTGTGGTTACAAGGTAAATTCTCCTAATCTACCCTTGAGCCACCCCAACTCTATCCCCTCTAGGAAGAGTTATGCATCTCTACCTTGCGGGTAGAGAGCCACTCAGCTTTACAACAAAGCTCTCACACACCCGACCCCAACCTGAGGAAGCTACCCTTAAGCTTTTCCTCAACCTTCAATTACACAACAAGTAAGAGAAAAGAAACTATATCTAGAACTCTATAAGCAGGTCCAGTTGCCTTGGTCTTGATACTCTCTTATAAGTATTTCTCTCTTTTATTGTTCGGTCAAGCACACTTAATTTCTCTTTGGCTGCTTCGTTTATATAGGCTGTCTTGGGCAGGCCGTTTAAGCATCCTTCCTTGAATAGTTGATCTTCTAATCTTGGGACTTGCCTCAATATTTTGAATTGCTTTCCTTCTTTATAATATTTCCCATATCCGAGCTCAATATATAAGGCAGCCGGATTAAATATCTTAATCAAGGTAGCATATCAGTCCTGGACTAAGAATAGATACAAACAGCTCGTCCATCTCTTGAGTGATCAATTAATTACCAAATAAGGTAGGCTTCGGTCAATATTCAAAAAGGTAGGAATATTTTTCTCAATATAAGCAATCAACTAATTTAGATATGGAATATATTTCAAACAACTTCTATTCTTTCACATCCGTGTAGCTAGGTAATATTTTACGTACCATACTAAGCTATATCAAGTATGGAAGGAGAATAATTACTCATATAAGGAAAGCTTAGCAATAGTGGAACAAGTAGGTGCAATCCGTATTAATTCAAATCATATTACGGATTTAGAAATGGAGCTGTATTAGTTCCTCCTGCATGGTTAGTTAATCAGATTAATAATATCCATTTGTTCTTTGTTACTCAAGGAACTGTGAGCGGTTCTATCCGTTGTTCCCCCTGTATGGTTAGTCATCAACAAAACAATCGTTTTCAACACATACCATCGGGAACCACCTCAAATTGAGGTGGCCGGACCACCCTTTTGTCATAACGTCCTGACCGGAACCCCCCGTGGACAACACCATCAGAGGGTGTTTCCGGTGGAAGTTTTTGATTAATTTTTTTGAGCATGTTCCTCATCAAGTCTAGTTTATGCATATCAAAGTTCAACTCAAAGTTCAATAGGAAAGACGGTTAAATAAATTCTTGAAACATACTGCGTTTTATATATGTACAAAATGGACTGTAAGAGAAGAGCTGCCCATTAAAGTGGCGGATTTTGTACTATAAGAGAAGAACGGTCACTCGGAGTGTTTTGCTTTAATTCCAGCCATATTTTGGGAAGGGGGTTGCTAGGCGCACCCCTCTAATTGCTTAATGTAACCTTAGGATGACTAATTAGTCCTTTTCCATTCTTTAATCAAATTTGAAATAAAACATGCTACGGGATACGGGGATAGTTGATAGAAGATCAGAAGCTTGAGATATCCATGAAGGACCGGACAATACTTCCGTGTATATGAAAAATCAATATCAAGATTTACTCTAAACCTAATAATTTAGTGACACATGGCAAATAATTACTACATACGTAGTATTATTTTATAAAATTACATGTCATAACTATTTCAGTTGTGCTCCCATCTTTACAAAAAATATTTAAAAGTTAAGCAATTTTTTATGATATCTCATGTAACAATAATATTATATATGTAAAATTTTGAAAAACAAAAGTATTTAGGTTTGGTCTATTTGTATCTGGACTGATAATTTTTTTACTATTGTTTAAAGATGTTTAAGTCTAATCTGGTCTAACTTAAGATAGTGACAAAAGTATTTAAAGATGTTTTTAATTGGATTGAAGTTTCCTGGGTTGGTCTGATCTAGTTGCTCTATTTAAGTCTGGTCTGGTCCATCTTAATCTGGTAGATTTCTATCGAAATCTAGTTTAGTCTGTTTGTTTTAGTCTGATCTGTTTAAGTCTGATTTGATGTGGAATTAAAACTAAACCATTAAAAACATTTTAAATAGAGTAACCTTTTTTTCTTGTATTTGACAATACAATGATGTGTTTGTCAACAATATTGAAGTCTACTTGTTTAATACTTCTGTCTTTTTGCGTTTTGTTACAATGCTTCATTTTCAGGCTAGCTAGAGCGCAATTTTGATTAATAATATATTTCATTATCCACTCGAAAAGAAATTATAAAAATTTGATTTTTAAAATTAATAATAAAAATAATTTAACAACTTTTTTTCAAGAAATTAAATTTTTAATACATTAATAAATAAAATATAATCAAAATAGAGTATGAAAATATTGTAGATCGAATTCAATATGTTGCAATTATTTAATAAGAAGACAAGAATGAATAGAATTGTTAAATTTTCAAATGGTGTCAATTGTATTTTACAACAAATTAATTGATGAATAAAAAAATGATTTATTTTAGTAAATTGAGATTTCATGCCGGTGTACTAATTAATTTAATACTCCGTATTACGTAAAAGGAAATAAGAAAATTTGAGAAACATACGTGCACCCAATATGAAATGAGACAATGAGAAAAATTGTCCAATTATGAAAAATTGAAAAGCATTAAAATTAGTGGAAAGAATTGCTACGTGAGTTTCCGTGAGCACATGACTGCAAGAGGACAAATCGGTCTAAGAGTGGAAAAATAGAGGCGTGCCTAGTCACTTTGATGGTGCTCAAAGGAGGTCCGTTTGGGAATTATTCTTAACCCGACATTATTTCAGAAATTATTCTTAATTCCTAATAAAAAGTAGTCAATATACCAAGAGCAACGTACACAAACCGTAACACAACATGATAACTTAAACCCAAACAAACCGTAAGACAACATGATAACTTAAACCCAACCAAATATTACTCCGTAATTGATAGAGCACATACGTAGGATATCAGGACTCCACTTACTTTGTTTACACAAATACTTGCGGTAATTGTGATATTGCGAACAAATAAACTCTTGCTGCTTTAAACCCTACGCGCTCACCATCTCTTTCAGAAAACCTCCTCCAATGGCGACTACCCAAGCAGGAATACCAGCAGACATCATTCGCAGTGTGCTCTTGAATCTGCCCGTGAAAGCTCTGCTGAAGTTTGAGTGTGTATGCAAAGAGTGGTGCTCCTTAATACGCGATTCAAATTTCAAGCACTCCTATCGAGGGGAAGAGCGGTTGATTGCCCTATCGAAGTCGCCGGGATTTTCCCATCCGATCAAAATTAGCCTTGTTGATCCCTTAAGCCACGTTTGTGTCCTTGAACAGCTTGGCGAGTTCACAGAGCATTTGTCCTTTCTTAAAGACAAGCGCTATCCTAGGCCTCATGTTTTGGGTTGCTGCAATGGCCTTGTGCTTCTCTCTTTTAATTCTCATATTTTTCTGTGGAATCCATCAACCCGACATTGTTCAAAAGTGCTTCAGCTCTTGACTGATTCCGTAGGTGGCCCCAAGGGTTCAGGTTTTTTCTATGACTCTTCAACTGGAGATTACAATGCCATTATATTACTTCCCCGTTTGGTTCTTGTTGCCAGCCTCAAAAAGAAAGAGTGGCGAGAGTTGTCCCTTCCCAACAACCTGCGTTGTGGTAGACATGTCCTTCAATTCCGCAATATATTTCATTTTGAAGCAATTGATCTACAATGGGGGACAGATCACTTTTCACGACGGTATAAAATCCTTTATTTTGATCCGGAGAGTGAAAAGTTTAAACCTTTCCCTGCACCCAAAGTAAAGGATGGAGTAGCTCAAGAAATAAGTGCTTTTGGGGTTATAGAGGATTGTTTTTCTATAACTATCCACAATAGGTGTGACAATACCACAGAAATACTTTCCATGAAGAAATATGGTGTAGCTGAATCCTGGGTTAGTATGTTTATCATCTCAGGGTCTGAACTCCCAATTCTTTATTATGACAGAGTCACCTTTTATTCTCTGAAAAGAAAGGGTTTAATTTGGCGTTGTTGGCGTCCGCCTACAATGTTTGTTCTTGATATGGAGACAAAAGAAAGAAAGACGGTACTAGACGGCATAACAAGGGAAACCATTGCTGGTGGACTTGATACATGTCTGGTTGTTGAAAGTCTAGCCTCGCCCCATGAATTCATTTGGATAGATGATCAACACAAACATTTCGCGAAGGAGATTACATTAAGAGGAACTAGTCTGCAGATTATAGGGCGGTGTGGTATAGCAATAGGGGCAATATCAAATTAAATTTCTCTGTTTTATGGTGTTTTTGATATATTTATTAAGAATTAATATTTAACAATAAACATAACAATATTAGTTAGAAATACTCTATTGCATTTCATGCTGCTGAATGCTGCTCATTTTGCTTGCTCTTAAGGTTATGAGCCATCATATGGAAGTATTTTGATAAGTATAAATTTCACAGTAGCTAAACATTGCGCTGGCAGCTTGGACCAATGCTGGCTTGAGTGCTTTGCCATCTGTGAATTGCAAATTGGGAACTGGCCGACTTGGGTAATTGGCAGCACTTGTCTTGTTTTGTTGTCTCATCTATGATGTAAGGTTGCTTTTAACTATGGTAGTTTGCATCTACCAGATTGTTTGTTAAAAATCAATCAGATAAAAAGTTTCTTGTTCAGCTCAGAATTCTGACTAACCGGAGACGGCTTTACAACATTTCCCTTATTAGCCGCAAAAAACCATCCCCTTGCATTTGCAGCCTTGAAACTGGAATCTTTCTAAGGCAATATTTGATTCTTGATGTTTGACTTTCTATGAAGCAAAAGAACACAAATTTGTAGTTTTTATTGTGACAGTAGTTTTTCATATTCATCCCTCTATCTTAAAGAAGCCAAACTGGTTTTAGAGTTTCTATATGTGTTACCCCTTACCCCCGTTTACAAGAGCAGCGGTGTAGTTAGACCTTTTATTAGAGTATCAAGGTCATATGGAGCTGGGTTTTATAGTCTTAGATTAAGTTCTGTAAGATACGGAGTATGATAGAATAGTTAATACTTCTTAAAGGTAACAATTGGTGTATTACAAAGGGAACACTTGTGCAGTTCCGTTTGTTCATCAACAATGGAAGATTGCATCTTATACTAATTTGAGTTCATACTACGTATATTTTATTTGTTCTTTTCAACTTTGTGCATTTACATCTAGCCACAAAATTAGAATGTGACTATCCCGATTCCCTTATGTTTTAGCTGAGTTTTTCCAAAATAATGTTAGGAAAAAATTATTTCCAAAATTAAGGTCGAGTTAAAAATATTTATCAAAATACTGTTGGAACTGTTTAGGGTTAGGCAAAGTCGCCAATGGCGACTTCAAACTTCAAAATCGCCCATTGCAACTTACCCTTAAGAATCTCCCATACCACGGGAGAAAGGCATGGCAAAGCCGTTAGTGGGACTCCCAAATTAAAAAAAATCCCTTTTTATTTAAAGTGATATAGCTTTTGTATTTATACTCTAAATTTTATGAAAAAGATATCAAATTTTGCAAAAAAAATTCATATGACATCAATATTGCATATATAAAGTTGAAAAATAATTAAAGTCCAAATGGGATGAAAAGATTAATTGCAACCATGTTCCATCAATAAACTTAACTTTGAACCATTTTATACAAAAATTATGTATCTATCTTGTGAATCTTGTCATTCCAATTTTTTCATACAATCTCGCAACCCTCCCCAACCCGACATCACACACCTCCTTTTTAACAGTTGTGTCTATGTTAACCTTAATCCGCCATGCTAGCTTTACCCATTTGTTCAAACATTGAGTTCGACTGCCTGGCAGGCTGGCACACAGGGGCGGACGCATGTAGTAATGAGGGTAAACACATGTTTCACCTTAATAAATGTTGTTAGCCCATATGGTAGTGCTGCAAAATTGAAGTCTTTCTTAGGCTCCATATCTTGTGTTCGAAATCCGTTAAAGATTCATTCACTATTTTAATTTTTGAAGTGCCTGCTAATTTAAAAATGAAACAGCCTTTTTAGGCTTTCATCAAGTTTCAAAGGCAAAGATTTCACTCGCTAATTGTTGCATCATCTCTTTTTTAAAGACTTATTGTTATTAAAGAATTATTATAAAAAAGAATTATTATTATTATTACTTACGAAGTATTATTATTGTTACAAAATGTCTGATATTTCAATTTCTTAAGTGTGTAAATTGCCGGTGTAGTTTTACTACTTTCTTCGTCTCAAAATGTTTTGTAAAGTCAACTTTTCTTATTCAACACAGCTTCACTGTATTTACTGTTTTTTTCTAAATCAAATTTTTATTATATTTTAATTTGAACTTTGCGAATTTATAGAACTTTCTATGTAGTTTACACATGTGTACACTTTAATTATTAAAACATATTTAACTATTTGTAGGTATTATTCAACTTTGTCATTGATCAGTCTTATTTTGAAGAGATAATCGATCCATCTTAAAAATCACAAATTGCAATTCAATATGGGACCGAAGAAACATATACATATACTTAGATTTTATCTAACTTTTGCTATTGTAATAATCTCTTAAAATTTATTACTGAGTATTAGATATTATATATGTGCATATACTAACCACCAATGTCTAGATCCGCCATTGCTAGTGGCCCACTTTCCATTCCCTTGGCTCGGTTCCATCCGCCCTTGGAGTAATAAAATCCCAAGAAAACTCCCATTCCCAGATTCAAACCGCTTCTGAATCCAACCTGCAAAATTCGTCCCATCTGGTGTAGGACAATTAACCCTCCTAGCCGCTAGTTTATCTGCTCTAGGCAAACCTTGAACACACTTGTCACGAAAAAACTTACTTGTTTTTGTACTGTTCTATCAAACTTACTTGTTTTGATTATTATAGAATTTAACACGCGAAGTAAAAAATTACTCGTTTGATGAAAAAATTGGTTAATAAGATTCATAATCCGAAAACAGGGTCACCGATCGGGATCTAAATCTAAATACATGAGTTAAGTTATTTCTACTTTTAGGCACAAACAATAAAGGAAAAGAAAATGAAAGACTTTCAATGATGGCATGTGAAAAACCATAGCCGAGTTTTCAAAAATGACCAAAAGAACGTTAAATTCGCGAATATTTGGTGTATTTGAAACTTGAGTGTCCAATATGATATTCTTATGTGACCATAATGTCCAATTTCTTCCATTTGAAACCTTAGTATCAAATATGATACTCCGTATTTAGGTGTAGCCATAGTGCCCAATTTAGAACTCGTTTGGTAACACTGAAATCGATTGAATCGGCTGATTCTGCTGAAATTTATGAGGTTCTAGCTTAAGTGTTTGTATTGGTTGATTTTGTTGATTTATGCAAAAAAAAAAAATGAAATATAGCTAAAATAGTCATCTACAGTAACTTCAGCCAATACAGCCATAACGGTAACTTCAACCTTACTTTTTCTTATTATTACACTATTCAGTCCGCGAAATTAATAGTTACGTGTTTGATTCACAAAGGAAAAAATAACTAAAATACCCCAAATTATGAAGAGGTGTGAGGTAAGCATCTCAAACTTGCGGGCATATGTAATTTAAATACCTTAAACTTTAGATAACAAGTTATTTTAGCACCATGGTCATACAATGTTCTTTCAAAATGTAAATTTTTGTTGTTAGTTTCATAATTTAATATATTTTAGCATTCATAAAGATACAATTAACATTCTAAACTTCCATTGTAAAATAAATAATACTACCCCCACTCTAAATAATTTCATCATTTTTAATTTTCTACTTTAAATTATGCTATTAACATCATAAGTTTACATTTTTGAAAGAAATAATATATGACCATTATGCTAAAATAACTTTTTATACTTGTATAAAGTTTGGGGTATTTAAATTATATATGAAAGTTCAGGGTGTTTATCTTACACTTCTTCAAAGTTTAAGGTATTTTAGTTATTTTTCCCATTCAAAAGTTGGCTAATAAGCCGAAAAATATAGTCACCAAATGGACTCTTAATCTTTATCCTTTTTTTTGGACCATTCTTCTAAACCTATTATAGTATTTGCTCTTGTTAATGCCAACATCCTTGTTTGGGATGAGACTCGAACCTGCGACTTTTTCTTTAGGAGATCAGCAGTGATTCCATCAAACCACAAGGTACTTGGCAATCTTTATTCCTTTTAAGTGCTCAATTTCCTGATGTTTTTGTCCAATCATAAATAATAAGTCCCTTTACTAAAATTTTAAACATTGTAAACTCCTAGTTTTTGGAAATTGGATGTGTTTGGGTGGGGGAATTCACCCTTTACTTTATTCATTCGATGTTCCTCCCAATATAAATGAAAATGGGAGAACATAAAAAGTATAAACAAATGAGTAAGTTAAATTATTAATATTTTAAGTTAAAAACTTATAGCGGAAAATAAAATAAATCGAAATAGGAAAGTGCATCCAAGTCGTGAGGAGCGAAGTAGCACGAAAACTCCATGAAAGGAGTATATTTTCGTTTTGAAAAATATACGGAAACACTATAATAACTCTCCTACTATGGTAAGTATTTTCTTGATTTTTGCTTTGTCGTCCAAAGGCTAGGAGCAGGGCCGGTCTTGAGGAAATGAGGGTCCTGTGCAACAAAAATAATTAGGCCTTCTTTTCAAAGTTTCAACACAAGTTAAAAAAACCGAACCGAAACCGCATCGACTCAAACGGGACTCGAAAGTCGGGACTCGAACATAAATCGGTTTAATGAAGGGTTTTTAGTTATAAAATCGGTTCAAACCGAACCGAACCGATTTTTATTAAGAGATATTTTTAATTATTTATTTTGTAGAACAAATAGGTAATATAAAGCTTGTACGTCCTTATTTCAACAAATAGTTGATTCGTTCCAGTGGGTTGATGTTTAGAGATAAGCGTGCATGATTTTATTTTCACCTGAGTTCGAATCCCGCATGCCTCAATTCTTATCTTTTTAGTTTCTAAAACTTAAGATTCCCACACCGATGGAAATGGAGGATTTACTACTCATTCGTTCCTATATATACGCTCCACCTCAAAGTAATACTAGTATATTACTACAAAAAAAATTGGGCCCTTCCAATTTTTTGGGCCCTGTGCGGTTGGACACCCTGCACACCGCCAGGGCCGGCCCTGGCTAGGAGTATATGGTAAGTATTTTCTTCTCCACTCGATCATGTACGGATTCAGGATTTCGAGTTAAGGAGAGCGAAATTTTTTTCCGCTTGTGTAGTGAGGCGAATTTTTTCGCTAGCGTAGGGCTCTACGGCTAATTTTCATTCCAAAAAATTCATCTGTACATACACGATGATATTTAAATCTATTACATTCTAAGTTTAAACAATGGAAAAATAATTTTAATTTTATAATTGTAAGTGTTCTAAAAACATACTAATACATTAAAGCGTAAGAAATAACAAATTAAATGAGAATTATTTGAAGCTAAAGAGTTTAAAAAGTACACACCAACCAAGGGTTTTTAAATAACTTCTGTCTTGTTTAACTATATGAATCTTATTAGAATAAATAATTGGTTTTTGAATTGCAATTTTTGTCTACCAAGGATGATGTTCGTGGGTAACGAGAATTGAACTTTTCTTAATATTATATTACAATAGTATGTATGAGAATATTATTTTTAGAATAATATTATACACAGTACATATTATTGTTAATTCACATATATGGTGCGTATTGTATTTGTATTAATGTTAAAATAAGTTAAAGTTTATTATCTATGCAACAAATTGTTTTTAGACAGTAATAAATAAATGAATTGTGTAATTTAATATACTTTCTGATCGTGAGCTACTAGACCGTGTTGCTGACACTGAATGGGACTCGGCCAGTTCTAGATTGCTACCTCGATGGAGTGCTCGTATCAAGGCTAAAAAATTGGCGACGCATAGTTCTACTTTTCAGAACTAGTTTATTGATATTTTGGGGAGTTCATCTCTTTTGGGCAACTTAATATTATTCGGCGGGGAGCTTTTCGCTTACTTTGAGGCTTTGAATGGTGGTAGATTTGCGGGGCCTTTTTGAATTGTTCACTCATTAGCGTTTTTGTTTCACTTGTTTTCTTTGTTCACTAGCTTTCCTTCTTCATTTTGTACTCTTCTTTTTATTTTTTAATAAATTTCCCTTTCATTAAAAAAAAATACTCCGTATAAAAAAAAGAATTGTGTAATTTAATGTCAATGAACATTTATATTTTAGATTCACTTCACATGATCTAAAAATTGTTTAACTAGTGTGTCTGGTATTTAATATTGTTTGATATTTTACAAAATCAAGTACTAATCATCCAATAAAGACAATTAAATGTTACAAAGCTTGAAATTTTATATAATAAGTATCCTATGTCTTAAACAATGAGTTGTGCTGTTGTTTTTTTTGCAAGGAGAACACTTAATTAGCATTAATCAAATCATTGTCAAGAGCAACTACAATAAACGGAGGAAAATAAAACCATGAACGCGAACCAGACAAAGAACAAGCGGCTTTTGCTAAGAGATGGATGTCTTATTCGCTGATCGCCTAATATGACTAAAAGAAGCGCTTGGAAAAATCTTCACTAAGTCTTGAATGTCATCGCTCAATAATCCCACTGAAGAACAACTGGTTCCTTTTGAAATTTCTGAAATAGCACGGTGTGCATCCGTTTCCACTTCAATGTCCGACCATCCTTGTTCTTGAAGCCAACTGAGAGCCTCTCTAATCCCGAACAACTCCACCCCCAAAGGAGATAATTTACCTCTCCATGATCACGCCACACCTGCTACAAATCTGTCAGTGTCATCACGCAAGCACCATCCAACCCCACAACAACCAGGGCGAACGACATCATCCACATTAAGCTTGAGCTTCCCCGGATGCGGTCGTCTCCAAGCAACAACAGCCTGATATCCTCGCTGCCCCCTAACTATCCGAGCACCTTGCACTTCTTTCCAGACAATAACCGAAGCTTCAGCCCTCTGAATGATACGTTGCACCGATGAGGGAACTCCCTGCCATACCCGGTGATTTCTCTCGCACCACAACGCCCAGCAACCCCATATCATCCTTTCCACCAATTCCTTACGTTTAGACTGGAACTCCAGATTAATTTGGTCCAAGAAGCTTGCTGCCCCTCCGCTTATCCAGTTCCAGGACATCATGGTCCAAGCTTCACGAGCAACCTCATAGTTAAAAAAGATATGCAGCAGCGATTCATCTTCCTTACCGCACAGTCCGCACAACTCCGAACAGTCCACTCGGCGGCTCAATAAATTCTCCCTTGTTGGTAAACAACCGCTGCACACCTGTTAGTATATATGTCCTAGCGATAATCACTTTTTAGAGATATATGTACTTGATCACATTCAGTTTTATATATTTGATATATACGATATTACACGTTGATGATTAAGTATTTCGATTGTCAATATCTTATTCATAATTGTGTTCCCTTGGACTTATGTTGTCAATAAGTAAGTGGAGCTTATATGATATAACATAAAGTCCTAAAATAGCCCCAATCAATGATCATCAAGAATGGGATATTGATGATATGCGATAAGATTGGTATGCGGACTGCATCATACTTTTAGAAAGTATAGTTGATCTCACAACTATGAGTTCATGTAATTCATGATGGTCACATAGATATTTTAGAAAATATTGGCATACCCATCGAGAAACCATTTGATAAGTTCTATTCATGTGTCTATGGGATTATCGGCGTATAGAGTAGTGTAATAGTCCTCCGACTTGAGGTCAATACGTACTACATGTGCAGAGTGATGTACTTTGACCATGACCAACACTTGCACTCCAATCGGGGTAGATACGGCATGTGTTGGGTGCATCACAAAGCACATGGAGTAGTAGTTGAGCCAAGAAAGGATTCATTCCTCATAATAGATTAAGAGAGAACATTCTACTTCTCATATCTAGATGGATCATAAAGTCATTGGCCAATGCAAAGATATATTCGTTTTGGATATCGAATATGATCGTTATGAATCATCTAGAAAGATTGAGAGACAGAGACTGAGTTATTGGGATAGACACTATATCATGTTCTAGACTTAGTTGAATGTTCGCTAAATGAAAGGACCGTATCACTATGAGCTCTATATTACAGGGAGTTTGAATAGTCCTCGCAAACGTTCTTATATATTAAGTTTGTCTGATAAATCATCTAGGGATTCTACTAAGACCTTAAGTTGATTAGTGCTTAATATATAAGGCCCTATGGGTCACACAACAAGTGATTATACCTTCCGATTGAATTGTTAGAAGGAATTAAATATTATTAATTGGATTAAATAATATTCAATTAGTAATACTGAAAATGGATTAAATATTAATTAGATTAAACATATTTAATTGATGAAGTTGAAGGAGAGTTCTATTTGATAGAATTAATTAAGTGGAATAAATTGGATTTATTGTACTTAATTAAGATGTATTTTTAATTAAATAAAGTTGGTACTTTTCTTTATAATTTAGAATTAAAAGAAAAGAGAAAATAAAATAAATAATGATCATGAGTAAAAGTGGCGTGCAACCCCACTTTACTCTTATTGTTTGTTATTTTTGTTTTGTTTAATTAATTGAATCATTAATAAGGAGTATTGGTCCTGTTAGGATTAAAACTCACTAATGAACAACACTTTCATTGTGATTGGGAAACTAGTTTAGAACTAGTATAAATACATCCTTCTCCTTCATAATTGATAGACCAGTTTTCAGATTCAGTATTATCAGTTTATTTCCCCGCGAAGAGATTTCCTAGCCTTTCTCTTAGAGAGATCTAACCGTTCTTTCGGAAAGGAGAAATCACGTGGATACCTAAGGTCAAGGAGTATCACCGCTAGGCTGGAAGATCTGTAAGTTCTAACTCAGATATGTTATTATTATCATATTCGTTGTTTTGTCATAATCAGGAAAGATCTGTTTGGGAAAATTTTAAACTTCCGCTGCTGTACTTTCGAGGTATGTTACATCAATTTCCAAACAGTGGTATCAGAGCCAAACTGATTCTAATGACATTATACGAATTTTGATCAATAAATTCGTAGGTCAAAGATATTTTTTATATTAATTGACCTATTTTTTTTAGAATTTAAAATCTGGGATATCCTAATTACGAATGGTTTCTAAAAGAAAAGGTAGGTGTTACGATGTATTTCTTTCTTGCTATTTCCTTCCGCTCCTTTTTCGACAAGTTGCGATTCAAGACTGGAAGATCTATCGCAATCCCAGAAAGGCCACAAGATAGCTTCATTTTTTTTATCGATCTGGAAGTTTTAATCGTTCTGCCTTGCGTATCGAGATGTCGTCGGAGTCCTCATGCTTTGCTCGTTATTGGTGTTTCATCGCCGAAAATAATGGATGCATACGAACAGGGTCACTAGGTTTAAATAACAGACAGGAGCAGGAGGTTAAAATAGTCTGGTGAATAAAATAGTGGCCATCGCTGCACCTTCGATCTGAGTTTTTTTTTAATAAGCCGTCAGGTGTCAGCGTTGTAGCTTTTGGGTTTCTCCCATAACAAAGGACAATAACATGACAGCAGAGGATTTGCGACGGATGACAATTTCGAACCAATTTCTTCCGACGAAATCCACGACGAACAATTCTGGAGTTGAACATCAAATTGTGCCCAGAATAGAGTTCTTTTAACGTTGTGCTATTTTTTTGGAAAATACATTGAACTAAAAGTCCCTTAGAGAATTTCGGAAAGTGCGTGAATCATTAAAACCTATTTTGGAAATTAGATTTAACCAAGTACTCTTTACAATTTTAGAAATTGTAAACATAAGTTGATTCCTCTTACTTCGTACATTAGTAAACGCATCAAGGATTCTCAATCCTTATTAGATAAAAATAGTTATCATTCTTATTGATAATGAAATTAAAATAACCTTAATTTAATTAGATTAAATATCTTAGAGATTAAGGATCTTGTTAATTTCCATTATGTATTTCGGTTGTGTTATTACAATTATTATTATTTTAAGTATGTTGATATTAATTGTTGATTATATATCTTTATAAATTAGATGTATATGCATACTTTAATTTTATATGTTTGAGTTAGATCTCATTAACATATTATTTGATAATATGTTATTAGCTTCTTGATTAAATAATTTAATACCCCGCTAAATGTTCCCCATAAATTAAAATTTAAATCTTGTCTGGGATAACGACATCACCCATCATAATTAAATTAGTAGAAATATTTTTTCGTTGAAGAATATTTCACCCAAGTGTTTATTCCATTCGACAAAATATAGAACTAATTTATAGATACATATGTTTGTGATCGTGTGATGGTTTTTGACTTACTTAAATTAGCTCGAGTCGCCCAAGCGTCAGTGTTAATTTAAGGATATCGATCAATTTAAAAATTGATCAACCAAGAATTGCTTGGACGCAATTGGTTTAGGGACCTACCCATTATATTATTGCAGTGATCAGCCCAAGCTGGGACTGTAATAGTATGAATGTGGATCTTGGCCACTATGATTGTGAAAAGAATCCATGTTCTTTTTATTGGGGTCAAAGAGCATGCAAAATAGTGGGAGCTAAATAATTAAAAGTCTATATTATTTAGTTAACTAGATGTGATCATAGGAATTAATATATGATTTTAATTCCGTTCTATTTGAACTTCTTTAGGCTTTTAGGAATGTCGAATTTATCATTGAGAAGTATTTTGGATACATGCAAGTTTACTGGACCAAACTTTCTGGACCGGGAAAGAAATGTGCGTCTAGTTCTTAGATAAGAAAATATTGAGTATGTGTTAGACACACCGGTACCCAAGATCCCTGATGCCAACTCTCTTGAGTTTGCCACGTTTGACCTAACTGCTCGAGAGAAACACGTCACTGATGCCAAAACTGTGCAATGTGTTATGTTGGCTGCAATGTCTATGGAGTTGCAAAGGCAACACGATAGGATGAGCGCCTTCGAGATGCTTGAACACTTGAAAAGTCTGTTTGATTCAGAAAGTCAGACTCTAGAGTATTAACCTCTGACAGACATTTTCAAGTGTAGGCTTCAAGAGGGTGGTAACGTGTCTGAGCACGTCCTCAAAATGATTGGCTTAATTGAAAGAGTTGCTACCACCGGAATTAAGTTTGAGGATCGTGTCTCGGCTGCTATCATCCTATATTCGCTTCCGAGTTCATTTACTAACTTCATTGTGAATTATAATTTGAACAAAACGAAAGCGACCATGTCTGAACTCCATAACATGCTCAAGTCTTATGAAGCCTCAACCTCTAAAGGAAAGACTGTTCTTATGGTAAGCTCTAATGCTAAGTCTCGTTCTAAGAACAAGAATAAGCAAAAGAAGAAAGGTAAGGTTGGACCTACTCCTACAGCTCTGAAGCCTAAAGGTGGAGGTCATATGAAGCCAAAGGTTGCAAAGGATGTTTGCCTCTACTGCAAAGAGAAGGGGCATTGGAAGAGAGATTGTGAGCTGTATAAGGCTAATCTAGCCAAAGCACCGGGTGCTTCAAGCTCAGGTATTTTATCATTAAATAAATATGTCTATAACTAACTCTCATTGTTAAAGTATTAGATACAACTTATGGCTTACACATTTGTAAAAATGTGCAGAAGCCTGAGAGACAGTGTAGCAGTTGGACTGGGTAAAATTGACCTACGCGTGAAGGCTAGAGCAAAAGTTGCTGCTGAACGTGATAGGATCTTATAGTTTAGATTTGCCCAGTGGTTTTAAATTAGAATTAAATAATTGTTATTTTATTCTTTCTATTACTAAGAAGATTATTTCCATTCATATGTTAGACATTAAAAGATTTCTGTTTTCATTTTGCTAATAATAATTGTTATTTTCGTAAAATGGTGTTGTTGTGGAAATGCTTTTCTTATGAATGGTTAATTTTCAATCGACATGTTAGATATTAAATGAATAAAATAAAAGGATCTCGATTAAGTAATCAGAAAAATTACTACTTATCTATGACATTGCAAACTTGGTCAAATTAATGAAACAAGAATAGCAACGTTAAATAAATTAGATTATTTAACACCATTTTCCTTGAGTCATATGGAAATTGTGAATCTTGTCTTTCAAGTAACTTGACTAATAAACCTTTTCTAGGAAAAAGGATAGCAAGCCAAAAAGTACTTAAGTAAAATTTCTGATTTATTTAAAAGGTCAAAGAATTTGGTCATAATGAACTCCTCCAGAACACCTTAGAAGTCTGGCGTTTCTGCAAGGAGAAATAGGGCTTTGTTAGACATGGATAGATCTATGATGAATTCATTTTCTCTTCCAAACATTCTTTTGAGGATACACACTATAAATCGCAATATGCATTCTGAATAGTTTGATTAGTGAAAAACGTACTATATGAGTTATAGTATAATAAAAGACATTTTCTTCACATATTAAATATGGGT